GCTGAACTGATTTAAGCCATCCCAACTCTAAGTTAACTTTTACTTAGAAGCCAGCCCATGACATCCCAATCTAAGAAGTTATCTGTGCTTACGGTTTCAACGCAGTTCTGCAGCAGGCCAGTACTGCTATTTATAAACTGGGTTTTTCTATTCTGTAAAGTACTTCTAGAAATCTTACACGTCGAAAGTAAAATAATAGTTTGGTAAGAAGACAAACGATCGAAGCAACTGTTTTATAGCACAATATGAAACTTGACACTGTTTTCTGCTGCCAGTATGATTCCCAAGTGAGATGGATAAATTGTGGTCAAGACCTGGACAGGTTAACTAGTGGTCATCAGTGCTGGTTGTACCTTTATATACAAAAAAAAAAAAAGGATACTATTGGACAGGGCATTTGAAATCTAATACCAGACATGAAACAAGACATCTGTTTGACTCTCATTTGTTTCTCTTTGAATGGGCTTTAATTGAAAGCTCAGTGAAAAATGCAGGTTACATTCTTAGTGTTATCAATAGTTTGTAACAGCAACAACATCAGAACAGTGATGCATCTAGTATTTATACACTTTCTAGTTTCAGATGTCTAAGAGCAATACATTATCAGATATATATATACACACAATTTCAAGCAATTAAAAGTAAATAATAAACCCCTCCTCCCAAAACCCTGAAACAATATATTTCCTTACACTAATAATGTCTTTTTCACATATACTTGACAAACAGTCTTTTTTAAGTTACTTATCTTAAGAGTAATCTGTTAATGGAGATCCTGGACCAGCCCCATTAAAAGTTCAGTTTTAAGTTTATACAGCTTGCTAGCCACATAACCAGTGTGGCTTTACATTGTAAACAAATCCCAAACGTCTACAATGATTGGAATTAGTTTTCTGTAAAGGAGATCTACGCATCTCACGATAGAATAAATTTAAACCAATACATTAAAAAGAGAGAGAGAAAGGGAGAGAGTTAATTGACAAACAAAACAGTTTTGGGGGATCTATTATGTGATTATTAAAAAAAACAAGTTAACTTAATGGTAAGATTCTTATATTCTGTACAGAGAGGCGCTGGTTCATCTAGCTTTAGCTGCTCTAGAAATACGTCCTTTAAAAAAAGGTTTCAGTTGTGAAGTTCGAAAGCAGAGCTTCCAACTTTAAAAGCTCGCCCTTTCGCAGTACGAGTACAAAGTTTCCCAAAAGTATCTCAGGTGACTGTTCGGTCTCATTTTGCGAGGATGGCTGTACTGGCATTTGGAAACCTCAGCATAAGCACAGATGCGGCAAGCGTAAATCTTACCTTCCACAGGGAGGAATCACCCTACCCGCTGCGGGACTTAAAAAGGTACAAGAATATGTACCTAGACAAGTTTTAGTGAAAATAAAACCAGGAAACTGGAGACAGACGTGGAAGTAAGCACAGTTTACACTAATCTTGAAACTGTGGCAATCTTGCTTACTTTTTAACAAAATTACAGATAAAAATATCTTGAACTTATTGAATTGGAACTTGTGTAAGTCCAAATGGAAGACAAGTCTGAGCAGAATCCTACGGTTTAGTTAACTTGTGTCAAATGGGATGCGAAGACAGCTGCAGCTTTCTGACAGAGGTGACCGAAGATGGCTGATAAAGTTTGCAGTAGCTCATAATGTCCCATCTGGTTTATTCACTGGTTTGAACTGTCTAAAGGGCCAGCTGCAGTTTAGTCATGTTCCTCTGGTGCATGTTGTGATGACGAACTAATTCATCAGACCTGGCAAATTTTTTTTGACAGCTGGGCCACCGGCAACTGAAAGGCTTTTCACCTGTTAACAAAACACCCTGTTATTAACTGGGCATACAGCTCGCCTGAGACACTGCTATTTGTTTTCTTTCTGCAGGGCTGTGAGGAGCTAGGCAGAGGCCCTGTCAGGAGGAAAGGCATGGGGGGCTGTCCCGAGGGGGTGCGGGATTGCCCTCAACTCCTACTGGCATCAGCGCTCGGTGCTTTCTTACATCTCCCGCAGCTGATGTTTAACAACAGCCTTTTCCGATGACGTAGAACATTTTGCAGTGGTTCACTCCTGAAGATGGGCCCTTGCTGACCACCGTGTCACCATATCTATGCTATTCTCAGCTCTCGAACCAACCAGTTTAAAAGTCACTCTGGCACTCGTGCAGGCTTCAGTCACACCTCGGACTGTGGTGCAGACTTACTGTTAGTCGCCGTGAAAATTGTCAGTGACTGTTTAGAGCTTGACCTCAAGTCAAGGAGAGTTTTTCCAGCTAGTTCTATGGGTTTTGGCAGAAGTTCTCTGAAACTGGTGAGTGTAAGTGAATATGGTGGAAGCAACAGGGTTCAGCATGAAGTCTGCTGAGCCAGACTGAAAGTTTCCCACTACTGCCTAAATAAAGTAGATTCACTTCTATGGGAGATATTGAAGGCTCAAAATATTCAGTATTTTTCTAACATTCCCATGAGCACAACATTCACTAAAAATGACCCCAAACAAAGCACGTTCGATTTGAACAAGAAATGCCATCACCTTTTTACAGTTTAATCTGGTCTCTCTGTTTTCTGCAATGTCTCATGTTTCTTTTAGATTTGCATTTTCTTTTTTTTCCCCCAAAAATAGATGTGATATTTTAAAGTAGGTTCAGCTCTGGGACTGGGCTCTTCAGTGCTGTCTACAGACCTCACACTCTCCCACTCAAGACACACTGGGGTGGTACAAGCTCACACGGCCATCTTCTTTTCTTTGCTCCACACCTTGTGCATTTCACAAACATCCAAAATGAGGCAAAAGGGGATCTGGGCTGGGCATAAATGTGTATCTCTGTGTGCAAAATCACGTCAGCATATATATAAGGGGAAGAGGGGGGCAGCATTTAAATTTTACTTTATCCACTTAACATACATGCTGGCAAAAGCATCAACTATCTCACATGAGTGCATAAAACAGTATGATCCAGTCAGAGCTACTGATAAAAATCACAGATTGTATGAAGTGGTCGTCTTTCATCTCAGCAGCATTAGCAAAACCATCCCGTGAACTGACGCGAGTTACCTGCTACTGGCCAGTTTTTCACTGAACCATCACAGCAAAAGCCGCACAGTTTTACTGTTTCACAAGCAATTCTGGTTGTCCTCTCGCAACAGGGGGCAGCCATCTCTATTGGTTCTGAGCTGGGCACAAATTACTTTGTACAGCTTGACTGTACAGATATCAGAAATCACGTTTCCATTGCTAAAATGTATACAGATGTGTGGAGTTTTTCTTTGATTCATTTTTTTGCTTTCTACAGCAAAGATTGCTGTCACAGTAAAATTGCTTGTGGAGACAAGAAACCCTGAATTTATAGCTTGACCAACAGTTTGGCAGTTGACTTAAAATTAGGGTGGAATTAGATGGAAGCTACCTGTGCTTTGCTTCATCAAGATTTAACATGGAGCAAGTTAACTGGAGCTAGGTGTTCTGCTGTGAAATTTAGCGAGTACAAGAAAGAAAGAGGCATGAAGCTACAGGGCAAGATGGAGCTGAAAAACCCCCACCCACCACTCGTGCTCATTCCCCTCAGGATACGTGTGTTTTACAGTCAAAGGAGCGTGACACATCCAAAACCGCCGACAGGAGCATCACCACAGCAGCACGCAGCTGGGCTGCAGAGCTCACACAGAACCTGAGCCAGCGGCAGGCAGCAAGCCCACGCAAAGGCCTGTGCTATGAGGCTCGAGTGAGGCTGCTTCCAGCAATGGGTGCAGTGTGGGCTCGGATCACACAGAGCACGGAAGAACTAGAATGGGGAGATGAGTTTCAGTAGAAAAAAGAGAGCAAGTTCTTCACTGATTTAGCTAATCTGGGATAAAAAATAACTGGAGTCATGAAAGTCATGAATTAGCAGATCAGTTAGCAATGAAATGTGATGGGGAATGTAGTTTATCCCAACCGGCCAGCGTGTGACAACCGCTTGCCATCTTGTCTCTACCAGAACATTACCTCTTTCTGATTAAGAAAATACCTTACTTCATGCAAATGCACACAGAGCCAGGCCCCGCAGCTCATCATGAGGCTATGGGGGGAGCCCAGCCATGCCCTTTGCAGCCATGCAAGTGCAGATATGGCCATTACTTGAAGCATCTATTTGGCCAGTACCACAGAAAATGCCACTATTCTCAAGGTGAATCATTTCCTTTATTAAAATTTCTCTTTTATTTTTGAAAGTCTTAAATATGTGTTTTTATGGTCCGGAAGAGAAAAAAGAATCCTTAGCAGGGAGAAAAAGATTTTCAGGCTCCTTGTCCATCTGTACAGAGACTGAATTTAAAAGGTTAACGCCAGTAGTGAAAACACTGTGACATCTAATAACTTGTCAAAGTGCTCGGTAAACACTTAGTTGGTAGAAATACTGCATACATAGTGGAAGGGAACAGAAAATGTAAGTTCACAGGAATAATTCTAAAACTTAAAACTAAAATATAGAGGTTGCTGCAGTTGCTCCTTAATGGTGTTTACATTTACGTGAGGGCAGAGTAGACTAAAATGGCCTCCTATTTTTTTTCCTGCATTTATATGAAATACTGTGGTTTCTGCAAAAAGGTCCTTGAATATTTGAGTAAGCTTTTACTTTAGTGTCTGTCAGTGTGAGTTTGCAAAAGGCACTCCTTTTATCTTCTGGAGAGATTACAGTACAAGCAGCAACAGCGAGAGCTTTGCCGTGCTATCCTGCATTAGGCTCAACTGACACTTAGGAGAAGCATGAGTAGGCACGAATACTTTAGATTACAGACCCTCGGCTGAAGCTAGAATTAAAATTTCTATCTTGCAGGGTTTTTTCAGTGAAGGCAGTAGATCAACTTGACATTTGCGGGCTGAGACCATGATGTTCATTTCACAATAGCTGACAAAATGCATTTTGCCAAGCTGAGATTTCTTTAAACATGAAGAAAGAAAGCACAGTTTCAAAAATCACCTAAATCTTTTTGTGAAAAGTGACTGTGGTACTAGGGGAATGTAGTCACACTGAAAAATCAGCACGCTCTGACATTTTTTCTGTTTTTTGAATATTAAGAGACTTCCTAATCATGTAATTTAAAACAACATTGATTGAAACTTAAAAAATAATGAAATATAAATGTGAATAAAAGTTTACGCACTTGTTTTACCTGTATGAGTCCTGGTATGAGTCTTCAGATGATCAGATCTGGAGAACTTTCTCTCACAGGTTTTACACTGGAAGGGCTTCACACCTGAAAAGACAAAAATGTCTATTCTTACATTCCAACAACTTTTGGAACAGTGAATGAAATCAACTATTTCTGAATTTTCAAAAGTCTGGATTTTTTTGTAGTAGTTACTGTAACTGCTCCTCCCAGCTTCATGCCTACACATTACAGAAAGTCATTAGTCAGGCTACCATCCCTCTGCAGCCTCCTCTTCCGACATCTGCGTCTGAGGCATCCAAACAGCACCACGTTAAACAAACACCCACTTACACTGTTGGACTCAGGAGGACCTGCACACATTGTCAACTCTGATCCTGTGGCTTGGCACTATTGGCGTTGTGTATGAGCAAACATGACATAAGAAGAACAGAGGTGCAGAGGTATATTTTTATATACTCCAAATAGGCTTAACTTACTTTATGCTTCTACGGCTTATTTTACACACTACACTTAAGTCTTGGGGACTGCTTAACACAGATGTGTTCTAACATGCAGTTACTAAAGATGTACCATCCTAACAGAGTACTTTTACCACCAGCTTTCAGAGGTACTTCCTACATCTCTCAAAAGTACCGTTTAAGTGGGATAGAACATCTTTAGCAAGAAAAGTATTAGGCAGAAATCACAGAATCATAGGATCATTTAAGTTGGAAAAGACCTTTACGATCATCGAGTTCAACCGTAAACCTAACACTGCCAAGTCCACCACTAAGCCCTGAGCACCACATCTACACGTCTTTTAAACACCTCCAGAGATGGTGACTCAATCACTTCCCTGGAAAGCCTGTTCCCGTGCTTGACAACCCTCTCAGTGAAGAGATATTTCCTAATATCCAATCTAAACCTCCCCTGGTGCAACTTGAGGCCATTTCTTCTTGTCCTATCACTAGTTACTTGGGAGAAGAGACTAACACCCATCTCACTACAATCTCCTTTCCAGGTAGTTGTAGAGAGCGATGAGGTCTCCCCTCAGCCTCTTCTTCTCCAGACTAAACAATCCCAGTTCCCTCAGCTGCTCCTCACAGGACTTGTGCTCTAGACTCCTCACGAGCTTTGTTGCTCTTCTTTAGATGTGCTGCAGCACCTCAATGTCCTTCTTCTACTGAAGGGCCCCAAACTGAACACAGTATTCGAGGCGCAGCCTCACCAGTGCCGAGTACAGGGGCAAGATCACCTCCCTACTCCTGCTGGCCACACTATTCCTGATACAAGCCAGGATGCTGTTGGCCTTCTTGGCCACCTGGGCACACTGCCAGCTCTTATTCAGACAGCTGTCAACCAATCCACCACAGAACAGTGAGTAAACCAACTGTCAGGCCACTCCCTGAGATACAGGAGACCCAAATGCAATTTCTTGCTGTGACTGAGTCAGAGGAGTACTCTGAAGCCCTTTCTCATGTTCCATGCAGAGTGTCCTCATGGTTCCACTCCCAGCCAGGAGGCTAGAGTCAGCACCATCTACTCTTCTGTGATTTTGAAAAGGGTGGCTGTCTCCCCTGTCAATCTAATCTAGACCTCCAAGGTCTCCTGAAATGCTGAAATGGGCTTTCTTGACATTTCCAGAAAACAGTGTATGTGCGAAAAACAACTTGCTGAATTTGGACTGAACTCACAAGGAGTTTTGTCTGTCTCAGAACATTTCACCCTGTACATGCTCTACTGAGAAAGATACACAACTCTAGCGAAGACCCAGAGACTGCTGCTGGCCTCTCTGCTGCATGTGAACTGCTGTACGCTTTCCAGGCTATTTGCGCAATCAGCCAGCCAGATCTTTGATGTTTTTCTCCTCACTGCTCCTAGAATCCTTCTCTAGCTGGAAGAATTCAAAAAAGGCTCAAATCTAAGTTTAAGCGGTTTGCTGATTTAGGGCGTTAAGCTGGTGTGGCCTTTGCTTCTCCACTCCTGCTTTCCACATGTAAGTGCAGAGTAATTCCACCAGCCTTTCAGGCTATGCACATGCAGCATTCGCCTATTAGTGTTGCCACACGAACATTGGAATACCAACAGTAGCGTTTATCAGCTTACTCATTGGCAACTTTTCCTTGCAGAACTGTTTTGTTTTTATAAATAATATACTCCCTATATTGGGGATACAGTATAGAGCAAACAGTTTCATTAAGAAAGCTGTTTCAAAATGATTGTGGCAGGATTAAAGGGTCACCTATACAACCATAGTTGCACTGAAATGACAACAAAAAAAATTAGCTACAGCCCTCTCCTAAAGTTAACTTCCAGAATTTGGCACCACAGATATCATGTACAAGCAGACACAACATCAGAAAAACATAAGTTTTGAAGTACATTTTTTGGATCACAATTCACATATACAGATGAACTCTAATGACCAGAGATGTGTAGTCAACAAACCTGTGTGTCGTCTTTGGTGCCGTTTGAGTTGGTCTGAACGAGAAAATCTTCGTTCACAGTCCTTAAAATCACACTGATAAGGTTTTTCACCTGTAAAGGACAAACGGTTTATCAGAAAACACGGCTAAATGAGGGAACACATCAACTAGAATCAGAAGATGAAACGTGTTACACTAAAAGACAGGCTTCTCTCCTGTCTAAAGCAGCCTAGCAGTACGGCAGGACTCATCTGCTGTAAAGCCATACAATTGTGTTGGAATCAGTGGAGAAAGGCTGGCACAACTCCACTGCATTGACACTGATCTTGAATCTGCTTATTCTGAGAACACAGCCCATTAGGTTAAAGCTACAAAAAAATTTCAGGTTGCATGAATTTTTTTACTGTTTTCTGCCGGAAAAGAACAGAAATCTCTTGGTTTATATTTCTCTGAAAACCACATTAAGCCCTTTCCACCTGTTTCAGTAATAAGTAATTTGTACAAGGGAACAACTTGCAGTTTGCTCTGAATTGGATTTGAAGCAAAAGCTAAGCCAATGACATCCATGTAGGCGGCAATTTTAACCACACTAAATTAATTAAAAGAAAACAAGCAAAATTCAACCACAGAAAAATACACATTCTTCTCCAAAACACAAAGGATGGTTTTTCTGGAAAGCACTGTTAAATAGAATTTCTCAGGTAGCTGCACACCTCCCGCAGGCAAGCCTATCAATTATTGCAAAGCCTCAAGTAAACATAAACTCTTCCTTCACCTCCCACACAATTCACAGAGATCCTCAGGACATGTTTTCTCTGGGACCAAAAGCAAGATTCTGACTTAAAAAGAAAAAATCCCTGCAAGCTAGTGTTTCAAATTAATATGGTGTTCACCAACCACATAAACATGCAAAAAAAGAACGTAGCAATCAAGGAGCTTGAGGAAAGAGGGAAACCCTGCTGGCATGTAGCATACCACAGGGCTGGTGAAAATCTGGCCAGCACAAAAAAACCCTCTAATTCATACAGTGTTACAGGAGGAGCTGTATGATCTTTCAGACCTGATTCGCATCTAGTCTAAGGCCCCTTTTCGCGACACTGGAATCCTGCAAGAGCCTCAGATATAATTACACTCATACCCACATAACACCTGTTCACAGTGCCACAGCCCTGCGCAGAGCCTTCTGCACAAGAACTAATGAAACATCTCTCCCTGCAAAGCTGGGAGGAACCTGGGTCTTATCGGGAAGGTACACACAAGACCAGCTGGGACCTGCTTTGTCTACTGTGGACAGCTGAGATGTAAAACAAAGGTCCAGCATGAAGAACCTAAAGAAAAAAAATCAGCTGAGCGGGCAGTGGGTTTAATTTCTCTGGGTATATTTTTAAACACATATCACTTTCATAAATCTTCATTGCAAGAGTCTGCATTTCTGATTTTATTATGATGAGGAAATGTATTCTGGCAGTTTAAACTAGTTCAGTTTAAAGCAGAAGCCTTCCGATCTAGGTAACACCATATAAGTAGCACACTGAGAAAAGCATCCCGAATTCATACTGGTGTGGCTAAGATCAAAATTTTACAAAGGCAACTACATCTGCAAGAACAAGCTAACTTCCTGTGACAGTCACCCAAAGGGGTTTGCTGATTCTGAAACCTAGGTGTGGACAATTTCCATGTCTGCTGTGCTTAATTTATTAACATAAGGGATTAAAGTTGCCACAGGTGTTTGAAATAGTTCCGTACACTTTGACCACAAGGACTCCCTGGGGGGTGCCTGCTTTTCAGAAACCACTTACTTCCAAGGAATTCAGCCCTTTGGCAGATTTAAGAGGGGGAATGTCAACAGAGCAGAATGCAGTGACAGGATGATTGTCTGCTAATTGCGATATAAACGCAGAAGATGGTTAAGGAGCTATTTGAATAAAACAGTATAGCGGGTCTGATGGCATGCACATGAAAGTATTTCTTCAAATAATTTGGAATACAATCGTGATTAAATTAAGGACAAAATTAACCAATGCGTATATTAAAGGAATACATCCAAGATGCTTACACAGAGATATGATGACATTGGATAGAAAACAAAAAGCAAGCAAACAAAAAGAGGCACGCTATTTGGACAGAAATCCTGATTTTCTTCTTCTTCTACATCTTCCACGTCAGCTAGTGCCAAGCAAAATGCCTGCCGAAGCCAACCATCACATACCTGTTAACTCCCCTAAGTGTCACCAGAACAGGACAAGAGAAATGTCCCAGATTAGAAAAAGTCTGTTGGTACCTCATTAAATTGCCCTACCAAGAGGGGTCAGAGTAATGTCTAGTTTCCCCAGGCCTATCAGAGCCTCTCCAGTAATAGGCTAAAGTCTCTTAACATGTGAAAAATATCCCATAATGCTGTCACCTTCCTATGTGACCATATATAATTTCAAAACAAAAGAGTAGATGAAGATGAAGCTTCACCGGTCCTTCCACCTGCGACTTGGAGGCTTCCATGATTATTTACATTTCATTACTGCAAGAGGACACACAAAAGAAAGGCTAAACTTGGTGAATAATGAAATAGTCAAGGTAAGAGAGGACAGAGGGAATAGCAGTCCCTTAATATTTAGTAAAATATTTAGAAAAAATAAAGCTCAACAATCGGAGAACAAGGGTGCATCAGCCCTGCACATACCACAATAAATGCTTCTAATAAAATAAACCTATTTGCTTAAAAAGAATTAACTTAAACTAGAGGAAGCGCGCACATTTTCTCTGGAGCAAATTCATTTGCCCAGATGCACGGGAAAGCAGAAATTCCTACTGCTGCAGCAGTTGCAGAAGACATTCTTCATCATTGCATTTGATGAAGGAGTGCTGCGAGAGCAAAAGCCTGCCCGCCACTAACAAGAAAACGTGAGGAGAGAAGGCTGATCTTGAAACCAGAGACTGCAAGTCTGAATGAGAATCTGAAGGCTTGTCTACGCTCTTCATCAATTTAAACCCCTTTTCTTGTATACCCACTTAAGCAAATGAGCACGACCACATAATCCCAACTTCACCTTGCTAAAACAACGTTCTTCTATTCAGCAAAATTTGCTTTAGCAAATTTAGATAAAACGTATGTTTATTTAGTACAGAGCCTTTATAGGTAACATTTTCTGTCATCTTCACAACGGAATTCAGGTGTGAGATGTCATTACTGTTTTGAAACTAATCCTGTATTTTAAATATGTAATTATTCCTATTTTATGCCACAGAAATGAAAGCCTAAAAGCAGTCCATGCTGGGCGAGGCCAAAAGTCCATCCAAGGTCCATCCAGCCCAGCAGTCTCCCACCATGGCTCCTGCACCAAAGATGCCTGCAAGGAGAGCAGGAGCTAGCAAGGGTGAAACAGTACCTTCCCTGGACACTCTCCTCGTATCCAGCAGTTCATAAGTTAGCAACTTCCTAAGCCAAAGGTGGCTTCTATTTAACTTTCATTAATGGAGTTTCTCTCCATCAATTTGTCCAGTTGTTCCTCGAACCCACAAATGCTTTCAGCTCCCACAGTACTTGCAGAATGGTGTTCCAAGACTTAACTCTGAAGGTCAGTATTTCAAAGCAACATTAATGAAAGAGTGCTATCCTAGAAGTTACCACATGAGACACTTACAAGGAGAGCCTGTGTAGTTTCCAGCTCAGGCACAATTATGCCCATTTACCAATTTATCATCTCTGTACGCAGAGGACGTAGCTCTGTCTTTCTAAGCTGTTGTCATGATGAACGGCACTAATGATTGTAAAGCATTTAGCAGCACGGTGGCACATGCCATAGTAAAAGGATACTTGCTTTTGTCAAAGCAAAGAAATAATTGTTAGATGATTAGTGTAAAAATCATTATTAGACTGCATTATTTAGAGCCTCAGAGCCTCAGAAATTCACCACCAAGATCTAAGTCCCCTACCACATAAAGGACAACCTTCCTGACTTACAGATTCTCACACTTTGTCAAAGAAGATCATACCTGCAGTTGAGCATATTTAGGCTGAAGAATATCCCTGGCAAACAGGCAGAGGATATTTTCTCTGCAAAGATGCTCTGTTATCTGTTAGGATAAATCCAGTTTTTCCAATGTGTGGCACTGAACCCTTGTCTCTGGCAAGAATGCTGATGTTTCTACCATAAACAAAATTTATGGAGGTCTAGACATCAATTTGTTTCTGCAAACCAGTCTCTGAAGTCTGCCACAGGATGACAGCTCACATTATTTGCTGTACTGTTGAAAAGTTCTACACATTTTTGCATTTCCTTTCAGAGGCCTATCTACTGCAGCAAAATATACCAAGATAAGAAAAAAGCCTTTTTGGCTGTACATGTTTCAATAAAGGCATTGTTAACAATGGATAAGCAGGCTTGGAGGGTACAAAATGTCAACATATTTTCAACTAAGGCTATGTTGAAACATTGGTAAAAACTGATTACAGAATCCAATTTTGTGTTTCAGGGCCCTGCTTGATTTTGCAGTACTGCAACTGGTGAAGAATGGAAGATCTGATGACGCAGTCCTCTGTAAGTATCTATTATAGAAAGAAAAAAAGTTAATCAAGAGCCAACATTATTCTGTAAAGATGCTGGTTTAACATTAGATATATGTAACAGCTTGTTTTCAGATCATGTGTTCATAATTTAAAAAATTGATCTACCACTACACTAAGAAAGGAGGAAGAATTTCAAACCCACAAGAGAACCCAGACCCACCATACAGGAGGACTAGTAATATTTTAAGTTGGCTGTAGAGAGGTATACCAAACACAACCAAATTATCCTCCACTTGAGCTGACATCTGTCAGTTCTGCCGACTTTAGACTGGCTCATCAGGATTCCTCCCCATCAAAACACTGAAGCAGAAGAGACACCTCCCTTTGTTTGGTAAAGCATATTCAATGTTACATTTGCCAACTACTTTTTGCCTAATATGTTAATTCCACCAAGCCCAATTTCTGTACCTAGCAGAGAACTCTAGAATGGGGTTTTGGAGTTCATTGGGTTACAAACAGAAAGATGATCAGAAAGCCTAAGAGACAGCCACATAATTATCAACATAAACTAACAGCCTCACTCGAGTCATACTGGCCTCTTCAGACATTCCCTAGCATATAAAAATAGCCAGGAGGAGAAAAGAAAGAAGGTGCAGAGAACTGTGGACTGTAGCTACCGTAAATGTTATCAACAAGACACACAGAGTCTTCATAGTGATGACTGATCTACCCTTGGAGAAAACTGGTTTCCATATTTTGCTTCTGACAATCAGCATTTCAACAAGCAGGAGACACAAATCAGGCTTAGACGGACATGAAGTTACACAGGAGACTGGAAATGGATTTGCATCACAACAATTGGTTCAACTGGTCAGGACTCCTGCAGAGGAGCATGGGACTGAAGAAGACCATTATGGCCACCAAATTCAGACTCTCCACCATGCCAAGCAGCCAAGAAAATATGTGAACTCAGAAGTGATTGGAGACTATCCGCTCCAGACACTCCCATATAATATAGTTCACCAAGCACTCCCAAAAACTAGGACTAACAGACGACAGGAGACAAGAAGTGAAGGGCATCATATTCTAAGCCTCTACAGCAGCTGGGAATCTGCAGACAATAATCACAGGAAACGGCTAGTACCCATACAACAGGCTGAGGACAAAAACCTGCCAGCCTGATAAAGGGGAGAGCTCCCTTCTGATGCTAAACCTGAAGGCATCAGCCAAGCAATTCTCACACCAACAGTGCACTGTCCCTTGTTTCCTCTCTTTAGTGGCAACCAAGGTGGAAAGCTTACATGGTCTTACCAATGGCAACATCGGTATCAGCAAATTCACGCTTTGGGAATGAAGGTGGCCTCTTATGGAAAGCAACTTGCAAAGGTTTGCAAAATAAGTAAGTTTTGTTGTCAACATCAAAATATAGTGGCAGAAAGATCTGGGCTCACCTGTACAGATGAGCTGTTTGAGGGGAAAAAAGTGGTTTTGCTTTACCCTGTTCCACTATAGTGTAAACCAAAGGAGGGGCATGTATGACCTCAAAGGCAACAGGAGAAGTCTCTCTAGGGATGCTAGACAGCCATAGTCTTATCCTCTACATCTTTTGGGGCTTTTGTGACTTTACATGCCTAGATTATAACTGGTATGATTCTGAAAATCTTCTCCAGCTAAGAAAAAAAAAAAAAAGGTGTAAACCGAAGTCCTTGTGATGCATCCAGAAATAACATTGCGAAAGCCAAGCAACTGAAGGGAATAAAATACAGGACCAGAACAAGCAAATTATGACTGTTAAAACAGGAATGAAAGAAACAGTGATTATGAGAAAAATTCAGAACTCTTTAGGCATACTCAAGAAAAATACTGCAGTTAATGGACCCCAAAAGATCTCCAAATTTTCTTTTGTTTCCAATTTATTTGCAGAAAATAGAATAGCATTTCTGTAGGCCTTCATCTCTAAACTCCAGTTACAATCTAAATTATTCTGAATGTGTAATCTGAGCAACACTGAAGATGTCCATCTGAATATTTTGTGACTTGCCCATTCAGAAGTTAAAAATAGATTTTAATGTTCATTTCTCTCCTCTAAGTATTTTACGCAATTAACTACTGTCACAAGATGGTCTCCAAAAGGAAAAGTTTGCAACTATTTTTTATTAAATGTTAGACAATCTGCTAGGTCACAGCAATATGGACTGCCTTCCTACCGTCCATTTCATCCCCTTGACCTTCCAGCATATTCATGGCTAACCGAACATCCATATTTACAGATTTTATCCACAGATTTCTAGATTAGCACAGAAAGAAATGTCTAAATAAAAATATGATAGGCAATCAAAAAAATGCATAAGGAGCATATATAAAGGTATATAATAATTTTACATTTCCAACAGTTTATATCTCACAATAGGGAAAATAATTAACTTTACTCTTTGGCAAGGTGCAGCAGGACATTTGATTTCCACATTTTGAGATGTAACTTATATAGCCTCCACTGAAAGAGAATCCAGATCTTGGCTGCCTGGCTTCAGGCTCCATTCTTCACGGAAAGATTACACAGCAAGGAAGCTCATTTGCCAGTCCCTGCCTCTACCCCAACCAGAAAAGGCTTACACAGGAGGACAAGAGCATGCTAAATATCTAGGTTGCTCTTGCAGAGGAAACTTAATAATTAACAACAGTTAAGATTTGGAGCAAGTTTCGATGTTCCCAAATAACAAAAAAAAAAAAACACAACAAATAAGAAGATTCACAGCCCTAAATGATGCCCTATAACAGTAAGAGAGGTTGGTGATCTACTCGCTTGTCAGCACTTCTCTGTGGTTTTCTTCACTAGATTCAGGCTTCTGCATCCAAAAGAGGGATTGCCCGAATGACAGAGCACATACATACCTCATCTGACAGATTCTCGCTGCCCCTGACCTGGCAGATCATTTCTTGCACCTTATGCTATTTTAAAATCACCCTACCCACTTTGCTGTCCAGTGCTGTGACGTGATTTACACCAATCCATGCTGACACTTACCAGTGTGCTTTCTGCTGTGCATCTGTAAGTGGGACAACTTAAAGTATCGCTTGTTACAGCCAGGGTACGCACACATGAAGGGACGTTTTTCATTTGTCTCACTTGCTGATCGGACAATGGTTGGAGCTACTCCTGGCACCCGTCGGACATCCTACAATGACAGAGACTTGCTAATGCAACGTGTATGTTCTCAAGCTTTTACTTAACGTATTCAAAGACAAACAATCAGAGGCACTTCTTCAGGACAAAGAGATACTTAAATACATCGTAGTGCAAACAGGCAATTTTACTTTGCGTTAAGGAACTACAACCTCAGTATACCTTAATCTGTTCTTTGCACAGTATTAAAACTATTTGAAGGTGAAATACAGTGATCTCTCCTTATTCAATTCTCTCACCAGTATTTCTGTGGGAGATTAAATGAGCCACATTCTGATCTCATGTGTAATCACACAATACTGGAAGAACACTCATTGGCATATGAAATAGTTTTAGGCTTATACCGGTGTAAAAGATATGAGCATGAGCCAGATTAGCATCCTCCTCTGTATTTTAAATACTCATACGAAGTTAAAGGACAGGGAAAAAAACGTATCAGGTTAATACAAATTAGTAAAAAACAAAACAAGAAAGACTGTCTAGGTGGAGCTGGTGAATAGTTCAGCCTTAATGCATTTTGGCCACTGTCACAATGTTCCATCAAAGATGATCTTCTCCTTCTGGGATAATTAACTTCCTTAAACAATGTCAACTGCTTACTTTCATTCCCTCAACAAAAGTTGGCTCACAAGCCTATTTCTGAGAGCTTGCCACTGAATAATGACTTGTTAAACTCTACAGAAAAGGAAAAGGAGAAAAGATGCTATCTAAAACCACTGATGTATGTTGACAACACAGAGCAACACAGAGGAGACAAATATTATGTAATGACTTTGCCATCAGTTTTAAGAAAGTCTCTCTTTTACAGTGGTATCTATTGATGATATGACTGTTTCAGAAAGGGAGGAAATTAACTGCCATGAACAGTAAGTTCTTTCCAAATACTCACTAGTTACGCAGTCATCGGGAAAGAATAATTTATTATATATATTTTTAAGGAAATATGTTTGGATTAGTAAAGTTTCAGAAATCTGTAAAAGCAAAATGTCATCTAACACTTTCTTATATATGGTTATCAGACGTAGTCCATTGTAGTCACAGAAGCTTCCCGCGGCCAAAGTGATCGGAGCTACAAGCTGGAAACTGGATTGTGTATTTTGGAGCACCCTGAGAAGCTGGTGAGGAATATTGCCTCGCACGTATACTTTAGAAGAATAAATAAACAATTTTACATAACTATGTGAGAAAGAAATCTTACATTATACTCCAGCGGCTTCAGTGAAGTCAGGACACTTACGTAAAGCATTTCTTGGTAACACAAGGAAACCGCAAATCAAGGATGGATTTATAAATACTAGTGGAGTAGTAAACAAACATTATAAACAGGCAGCAGTTTTACTTCCCTATGCAGAATGTGCTACTATACTCACTTGTATGCCTCTAAAAACTCCATGGGTGTGTATTCTGTATTGGGCCCCACAGCTGTATAACATGGGAGCACTGTGGTTCTCATTTTCATATCCTGCTGTATGGCTGTAAATAAAGAGGGGAATAATGGAAAAATGAAATATTTTTCAGTACTCAGCTCCATGTGAGAGGTTTCATTTCTTAAGCCGGTGATAACATATGCAGAGTTCGCTTTCATAGCCAGGATGTCCAAGTTCAAGTGAAATTCACCAAAGGAAGCCTGCTCTGCCTTCGTATGGATCTGCTCCCGCTGGCACAACGCACTGAGTCCATACATACATCTGTTAGCATCCATTAAGACAGCCCAGTAAAAAAAAAAAAAAAAAAATTTGTCATGATTTGAACTCTGATGTATTTCCACAACGATTTTAGGTAAGAGGAAAAAATCCACATAGCAGCATAACTGTGTCATGTGCACATGTACACATTATTTATCAGCGAAAAGTGGAGCTGGCTATTGCTAATATCTTTTGGAATGAGCAAAATGCCTCAGGTTTCACATTAAGTGCAGTGGATTTTTGTCAGCACCTCATGACTCAGATATTACCAGATACTACCAAGAAAGTGATGACATTTATAAGAATAGCAGTCATGTACTCATAAACAGAGATTACAAATCAGTGTCCAAACTATTTATCCCACATATCAGCCTGCAGGATGTGCTACAAATTAACCCTTTATAAAAATAAAATAAATAATCAAAACTAGTATACCCTACTAGGTATAAATTTTCAAGATTCCTCATGCAGCAGCATCACAATAATTTTAAAGATTTGTCACCTTTGTTGTGTTTCGGGGGTGTCACAACCATATGTTTCATCTAATTATATTCTTCAAAATTCTACATTCTCCTTTCTAGAATGTTAGGAACTTTGCTGCGTTTCCCATTGGCAACCTTCTTAATGTCAAAACTATGTCAATAAGTTATAGGGGTTTTTTTAAGTGAGTATGTGACATTAGCGTGTCCACTGCCACATGTGTTAATACACATCGGCAACGGTAAGTGTTCATGTTTTACACTGCACTGGAATTTAGAAAGCCCAGAACAAAGCGCAGAACAAAGCCCAGGGGCACACAGCTAGGGACAAAGATGGATACGTAGGATGTTATCCCAGTCTTTGCCAAATGCTTGCAATAGCAATTTGCAGGGGTCCCTGAGGCCCAGACTCTCATTTCACTGGTCCTTCCTTTCTCTTCACTCAAAGTTCATGTGCAGAGTAGAATTACAAGGAAGTTTTAAACCTCTTAAGTGATTTGCAGGACAGCCAGTGGAGCTGGAATGCGGGAGATGTCTAAACAGTTTGTGAACCTCGCTAAACGGGAGCGGAGCAGTGCTTGTGCACAGCTCTCACTGCAGAGCGCGGGGCACGTTCCTCACTGTTTGTCCCCATCGCGGCTTGCAGGCTGCCACCTGGCAGATGGGTTTCTTTAGACCAAGTCCGCTGCTGCGTAAGATACTAGGTTCAAATCCTGCTTCTGCCCGGCTATTAAAATCAAAGGCTACACCTTCTAGGAAACCATCTTCTGTTTATTTCAATTTTAAGTGGCAAACAGGTGATCATCATGAAATAAGTTACAGGGCAGAAAGTATCTCTGTTCTGTAGTATTATCTGTAATAACAGGGAAGGGAAGATACCATTATCTGATTTAAATGGATTCAACCCTTTTCTAAATATGTACCATGTCCAACTAAATAGGGTCTCCTCTCTGCTCAGGGCCCAGATGTGGCCTTTTGCTCCCTAATACAAGTAACAAATCACCATTTGCTCAATTGAGGTTACCCACCAGCATCCAAATTTTCCTCTCTGTTGAAAGGCAGCAAGTCCATGGATGTTTAAAAAAAAAAAAATAAGGTTGAAAAGCACTCAACCCATGGTGGTATCCATGTTAATCACAAATTAAACAGTGCATTTTAAAACAGAAATTAAATGAGAACTACCATTTATGAGGAGGATGTTCTGCAGTAGAAGCTTTTGCTGATCTGCAATGTAGCAGCAAATCAAGGGTAAATATGAACTTCAGCATCAGTCACCCCGAGCAACTACAAAACCTCTCATTCACGCCTGCGCTAGCAACCTTACACATTACAATAAACAAGAGGCACAAAGTCAAGTAAGAATTATTCCCAGGACCGAAACTTTAGAAGGAGGATCAGGAATATGCAGTAGAAGTTTATACCGTAAAACACAGCCTAACTCTCCCTCTAAATTCACATGGTTTTCATCTTTCAGGGATAACTGTTTTTCTAAAGACCAGTCAGTTCTGAAGTAATTCCTTCGAGGAATAAGCAGCAGAACAAAGACCCTGTCTGTGCCCTAAGGAATGGCTCTATGAATGGGAGGTATCCTCCAGATGATCTCCATGTCCATTTTTATAGCACAGTTGGGAAGCCTTCCTCAACATTCAGCCTTTTTCGTGTTTCCTCCCATTATTTCTAGTTATCCTTCACTAAAACTATGCATACAACTGCAAAGCCTAGAAGATTAAAACCTGCTTTCACAGCCTCTTGACACATAATACACTAAGCAATGAATAGCCGTCCACTTCACCGGCTCCCTAGGAGAGACGCTTTAATAAGCGGGAACCCTAGTTCCCATTTTACACTGGGCACTTTTCCATCAACATTGGCTGGCACTCAGCGTGGTCGTATGGATGATGACAGCAAAACGGATCACGTGAGATTTCTTGGTTAAAATACTATTTATTCACTATGAAGTGCTATGGAATAATGTGACCTTCAGGGACGCAGAAATTAACAGGTGAATGTTCTTTCCAGTCAGCGGAGAAACTGGGACGCTGAAGGAGGAGCTTTCACAGAACGTCCCTCCATCACTGCTCTCTGGAACTTCAACCTTCACTCTGCATCGACAGCAGCCTCACTGTGAAATGGGACTTTTTTTCTTCCAGTGTCTTTACTCAATGCATCCATGATGTGTGCCACAAAATGTATACCACAATTTGCACAGTTGGCTTGTTTCATATTGCTGCAATTTAGACACTAAAACAAAAGCAGCACTGATTCAGAAACCAATATAAATCTCCTAAACATGTTACTGAAACTCAGACTCCTGCTTTACCGCATACAAGAGATAATGAGCAGATGCAGCCTCACATACACGAGCGATACAAGTGACCGATGAATTGATACCTGCAGTATATTAACTAAACTGAAATCTTAAGAGGGCAGGAGATTCCTTAACTTTCACTTTCTCTAGTCAGGCACTCTGTTTAACTAGGAAAAGAGACAATGCCTTACACACTTGGGCCACCAAATCTGTAAGCATAATAATGAAAAGTCATCCTGATAGACTCTCAGTACCAGGCAACAGCCTAGATGTCCAGCAAAGCACTGCAACACACACACTGTACACACCAGACCCATGAACAATACACGCATTATAAACTACAAAGAAGACTCGTTAGAGATCATATTGTTCAGATGAACACTGATAATCCAGGGCAGGTACACACCGGTACTTAGGGAGAGACGGGCTTCTGGGACCAGGACCCACCCTGTTCTCTCCCAGCAGGACGGGCTGCTCAGGAAACGCCAGGGCAGCCTGGAGAGCTGCCAAGGGAGCTGCTGGCTGCCCTGCTGTGAGTGCACTCCGAGCACGGCTGAGAGCGCGGCCAGAGCTCCCGCGCCCACTCTTCCCCAGTACCAAGGGCTGAGCAGCCCCCAGGAGAAATTCAGCTGAGGCTAGGGGGATAATCGGGGGCTAACAGCTGAATTAACCAAAGAAGAAAAAAACAACCAAACAAAAAGCAGTATGGCCCAGAGTCACAGTTAGGAGAGACACTAGACCCATCCCTCCACCAGTCCTAAAGGAGTCAGAACTGAGCACGGCCAGATGTGGCCAAGCTGGTCTGCCAGAATCCAACAGAAATTTTTATTCGAGCAAGGACTGAAGGATTTCGCCTCACAGCCTGGTTCTGCCTTTACTTGTAAATATACAACTCCCTTTAACTGCAACGGGAACTGCACAAAGGCAGAACTGGACTATAAATATTTAGAATTCGAGCTAGCTGGTGAAAAAAGGACCCAGTATGTTTTGTTCTCTGGTTCTAGGCAGCCAGAAACAGACCTGGAAACACAGACATAAAATGTAGCTCTAGATAACTGGGAAACAAAGACTGATACTTACGCAACATAAAACGCTAAGCAAGCGTTATGTGTTGTAGAGTATTTAGAAGCGCTTGCATTTACCATTAGCCCAGCAAATCCTCAACACTCGGAGAGTAGCTCTTTTAAAATGATTAATCTCAAAGCTGTACAGATTGTACAAAGATTAATAAAAATGAAGGTTTTACAGATGAGAATGTGTGATGAAAAACAGAGCAGCTTTTGAGAGTTGTATCAATCTAAGTGGTTATAAAAAAACTCATAAAAGATGACATTCTAATCTGAATATTTTAAAAAATAATCAAGCTGCAATTTCTCTCTCACACCATTTTTACTTCGTTAAACTGAAACTGTCTGTCTAATGTATAAAGCAGTTACAACTTAATCTGGAGAGTAAACCTTTTTATTATTATTTCATAAACCAAAAAAGGGAAGCTTTAGGGCATACTGAGGAGAGTTAGAAAATTTCAGATGAAAAGTGAACACACATTGATTCATGAGATTCAGACTTGGAAGAATAAAAAAAGCCAGAAAGCAAGATTACATAAAGCAGGCACCACATTAAGCCTCAATTTAATTGTGTTTCAATGCAGGAACAGGAATTTTAGGGTTTAGAAACAGAGCCAAAAATGAGGCAAAGTGAGGGTGTGGGCCAGTCCCGTTGATAACAGAACATAAAGGAAGAGAAGTAGAGTTAATTCCCTCTGCTAAAATATTTACCATCCTAGCACCCTGGGAAAAATATGTATGGAGACAGCAAAAAGATTCTGATTAGTGACATAGCAGATCATGTTTCTGCCTGTTTTTTGTCTAATACTATTACGGAGTGTGGAGTATAAAGCTACATTTTTATCTGCGCTTTCCAAGGCAAAGGAATATTAAAAAAACGCCGATTTCACAGATTAGAGCCCTTCTGCCATCTTCAATGAGAAAACCAGCTGGTTGATGAAAGGAAGGCACTGGACTTTCAAGGGACCTTAGTCTCTTGGACTTCAATAGTCTTTGTTTGGTTTGGGTTCTTTTACCATTGACCTGAGTGGAATCAGGATTTCACCCAACACTTCCCTTCAAAATGAGACCCTCGGCTATCAGCGGGAAAGGGGAAATTCAGCGTTAGAGACAATAAGTCATTGTCCATTTCCAATTCATGTTGCTTCCAGAACTGAACCCAAGTAGGAAGTTTTGCACCTCCAAATTTTACTAATAATACCACCAAAGCTAAACAGAAAAACCTTTACAATTCACTCCTAGACAAAGAGAGTTTCCATTGACTTGTTTTAGATGCAGTTTTAATAGTGTTCTACAGAGATCACACCTAATTTCCCTTCCAGTGAACCTGAGCAAACAGCAACAAACACAAATTTCTGTGGAACATGCTGACTATTTAATACCCAAGCCAAACCAAAAGGGGAAAAAAACCCAAACTTGTCTGGCTATATACTCGATTTCAGGTGACTGTTGAAAATATGGATCAAAACTTTTTACTCGAGCAACTGAAGAGACAACTGTGCGGTATTTCTGTTAAGCCTTGCTGTTGGGTCTGTGGCTACACTTCTTGTCTACTGTGCCATGTTATTTCCTGCTTGGTATAATTTATTTCCATGTCACTTTTATACAGAGCTCATCAAAATATCAAGGAGGGTTTTATAGTCATGAGGTCTACCTCTACAACACCCCTGTGAAGGGAAGCAGTGTTTTCCACACTGGACAAGTAAGAAAGCAACACAAAAATATCAAGGACAGAAACTGAAGGACAGGTGTCCACTAATGTGGGACGTCCATTTTGAGATGTCCAGCACATGTGTGAGTTCTCAGCGTAATAAGCAAATGACCCGCTGACTTCCCTGCAACAGTATAAATCTGATCTTGGCTGCTCCAAACAATGTACCACAAAATGAGGAACAAACCATCAGCAAACAGTCTGAAGAGATAAAATTCAGTCCCACAGTGATGTTCACTGCCTTAACCATGAAGGTTTCCTTTCAGATCCTTGAAGCTGACAGCTTGTGTGACAGCTCTCGCAGACAACAAGCCAGCCCTCCCTCTTGTCTACCCGAAGTTCAGAAGGTGACAGAGAAGTCCCTGGACAAACAGGAGACACATAATCAACGTGCTAGCTCACAAGGCACTGTTCTTCCTTCACATGAGGTACAACTTGAGCTCAATCTTTGACATTCAGAACCTAAGTGAAAATCTACAACACAAATTCAAGTCACTTGGATTACACGGTAGAAGTAGTGAGTTCTCTTCTTCTCCAGGGACACCTCCTTGCAGAGGGAAGCTCAGTTTGGGCCATCAGACCTGCTTTTGGTTTGCCAGCAAGCAGAATCATCTAGAATTCATGGCTGCAGCCTTTTCTATCTGCTTCCACACTTACACCTCTATCCCCTTCCCCTGCCAGTCTGTCACATTGCTGCACTGAAAAGTCTTCTAATGCCTCAAAGTCATAGACTGAGCAGGCTCTGAGCAGATAAAATCATGAGAGAGGTTAGCTGCCAGGCTCTTGCTTCTGATCACACACGAACAGGACTGTTCATAGGCTTGCACTCAATGCGAATGATTTTCACAATGGCTGAAAAGGACATGGCTTTGGCCACCTGACAGTATTCCTTGCCAAATTTCAAACTTTTAATCTGGAGTGAGGAGATTCTGGAGCTAACCAGTCGAACCTTGGCAAGAATGTAAACAGCTAAAAGCAGAATGCTCTCAGATAAACCTTTAGATAACTTCAGCATCGAAGCTGCTGAAAAGCACAGCAACGGCTTCATTTCAGTGTATTAAACTTACGCTCAACATGAATCCAGAAAGCAAGCTACTGAACTGGTCTACTGTCAAGTGTAAAGTGTATAACCCATAAGTTTTACATAATTGTAGAGTTCTCTAACTATTTGCAGAACTTACTGGTAATGTTTTCTTCCTTCTTACAATGTGCAAAAGTCTTATCGAAGCCAGGAAGAAGTGCTGGGGAGAACTCAAGGCAAGGAGCTCCACGAGGACTGTCATCGTTGGACAGAATCTAGAAACTCCGTATTTCAACCGAAAGATTGATTCCAAAGCTCTTAAATTACAACTACAAGATTGAGAAAAGCATCTGAAATACTAAACGCCTGGGAATCACTTATGAACAGTTCATATATTTTAAAGATGTAAATCTTGGGAAGAATACCTTATGCTCATGGCAACTGAGATTGGAGGTACTGTGCATTGTAACTCTCAGCCAGAAAAGACAGATAACTATTTTGGCTCATATTACCCATGATGAGGCTATGTCTAGCACTGATTTTCCACAGATTCTACAATCTTGGCCTATACCAAAACTTCCAGCTTTGTTTTTCCATAGATCATTCATCTTGATTTCTTCCCCCCACCCGCCCCCACCCCTTCCATGCATCCTAGGTCACATACTTTACACTGCTAACAGTCTGACTCCTGGACAAGTAAGAAGTAATTTATTTTGTTCAGTACTCCTTTAATACTTCTATTGTGTCCTTTTTTTTTTTTTTTCACTGAGCTCCCTAAAGAATAACCTCTTCCTTGCTTTAATAACTTGGACCTCAGTCAAGGTTGATGTGTTTCTCCACTTTGCAGGATATTTTCTTCAGAAGAGACAAAACAGTGTCTAACATTGCAATGACTGATCTTTAAAGGGTACGGTTTAAAGAGGAAATCAAAAACACTCATGGAAAATAAAAGTAGGAAATAAGCTTTAAAAAGAGACGATGGGCAGCAAAGACACTGAACTGTACACAACTGTAGGATTTGGGGATTTTCTTGACTGAAAGAGCTCCTTGGCAGATCTCTCTAGGCTCAATTCTCTAGTTCATCCTGACATAGTTTACTATGCTACTATCTTCTCCCTTGAACCTTCAAACACCATTTGTGAATGAGCTAGAAGCAGACCCATAGTATTTTTTTCCCTTTATCACGCTGCAGCGCTGTACACAAAGCCCATCTTGAACGATGTTTTGGCATTGATGGACAACTACACGAAAGCAGAGATCTGTGCGGGCTCTTCCAGATTCCTCCTGCTCCGTTGAGACTGCACTGGTTTGGACACCGCGAACATCTCCGCGCAAGCTGGTGACGGCTGCCTTGGGCAGGGA